GTGTGGCATGCAGAGCGATGGTCTCCAGATGATGCCTCACACCAGCTCATTAATCAGGAGCTAATCCTGACAACTCACAGGCTTTCTGTGTACCTACAGGCATTGCCTTTTTCTCCATCAGCAACACTGAAGATAACAGTAACTCAGTTTGCCTCATGAGGATTCAAGTAATGCACTGAAAAAGCCTCTGAAGATGTAAACATGTCCATAAATCTACATACTTTCTTACAATGAGAAATTTTTTCCTACTCAAAGAAACTCAAACCCTACCAACCAGTAACACACATATGCTAATAGACAGTGCAACGTATGTGCATGGTGAAGCTGGCATGCAAGCTTGTGATTTGCACTTTAAAATGAAGCAGGACAACCCTTGGGACAAAAATAAGGTAGATTTTGCAAGATTTACAGCCACTATCTACAAAACCTGCATGCCAGAAGTAGCATCCACTGACACTAAAATATCCAGATTAGAGGCCTTAATGAGAACAAGCTGAGAACTGCCACCACCTTTAATAATTCAATGCTGGAATGAACCTCACAGGGTGGAGTAACTGAGAAGAGCCATTTGCTCACCAGTTGTCAAGTATCCTTTTTCATAATGTCCCACTGCACTTACCAAATTTTCTCCACTTAGTGCATTTAATCTGCTTTCTTCCTCTCTGAAAAACCTCTGTTCAAGGAAGGAGTGTCAAAATCATTTACTCAGGGAGGTATGTCACTTCATTCCTTCTATTAAGAGCAAGAACCAGGAAACAAGAAGGTGTTGTCTTCATTGTAAAAAGTCTAGGGCAAGCTCTGTGGTCCCAAAAGATGTAGAAACTCACTGGAGCAAGCTTTTAACCCAACAGCATCTGAAATCCATGTCACCCACTACTCTTCAAAGTTATGGTTCACTTCAGAAAGCTCTACACAGTATATTTTAGCCCAAGAAGGACTGCCTACAGCCTCCAAAAGTGTTTCAGAACACACTGATTACCAGACTTTCCAGACACAAGAGTTGCTAGCAGATGCTATTGGATTTTTTCCCCTGTGTGTTAACAAAAGAGAAATCAGGCATGTAAAGCTCTGGATGGGAAGACTCTTCCAGCAAGTTGCAGACAATCTTTCCTTCTGTCTCCACCTCCTCCATCAGAGGAGTCTGTACATACAGACCACCCAGCTGGGGCTGCCTCCCCTTCGCTTTTCCCTTAGGATTCACACATCTTTTTGGTTACCACCTGTTCCCTAGGACAGGGGCATCAGCTTTTGTTTCAGCAGAAGTCCACAGCACAGTGCACAGACCCTGTCCTTCAAGAAAACTTGCTATTTGAGCTGGTTTAACAGGAGGAATCATCAGTGCCATAATTTTGACCAACAGCTGCTCTCTCAGGCATCCTCCTGATTTTGAATACACGTTTAAGCAGACACAAAGTGAAAGAACATCACCTGCATAAGACAGCTATTCTTAGCAGTGCTTCTTCCTGGTGAATACACCAAGACCTGCTTTAACTATGTAATGCTTAAGAGAATATGTTGAGATAGTCACTGTGACTGCATTCCATGCTATGCTAGGCTCATCGCCCTCCTCCAGCCCTTGTGCTCTGTCCCTGAAACACTGTAAACATAATGATAAGCCAAGCCACAAAAAGTTGTGTGCTCTAAGACACAGTTGTCTGCATTTCCTTCCAGTTCCACGAGTTAAAGCTCATGTTCCCTGGTTGATAATCAATACCTTCCTTCTCTTTCTAAAGAAAACAGGAAAAGCATGTCCTCTCCAGGCATTTCTACAAGGTTGGGATCAGAGCACTGACCTCTCTGCTGTGCAGCAAGACAATAAATGACCTCCAGCCTTTAAGTGACATAGGTGGTCTAATAAAAGCCTAGTAGAACCACCCAAAGTGTCTGCCTCAGACAGGGACTCATCAACATGAACAGAGCAGCACCCAGCTGTGTTCACAGAACTTGCAAATTAAAGCTGACTTGTCCTGTGCTGACTGCACATGAACACAGAAGTAGCATTTAGCTGTTTTAACTGATTGAACTCATCAAAGCAACTAGGAAGTTCCTGGCGAGTGACCTTAAGGGGTGTAATTTCTTTCCAATCATGAGTTTCAGTGGGTATTCTGTGTTCTGACGTAAAGTACAAAGGTAACATCAGGTACTATTCATTAGTTTCATACCATTGCTTCTAAGAGATCAGTAGAGTGAAAATACTATGAAAAAACAGAGATGAAAACCCTACAGTGGCAGGAAACCACGTGTGATTCTAGAGGTCAGGCTTCTTGTGTTAAAACTGAGCATTTATAATGGTGGGGAGATGCTGAGTGACTTTGGAAAGTAAGCATGTGTAGAGAAAACTTGTCTGGCAAAAGAAGAAGAGCACAGAGCTAAGAAGAAAGAAGCTGTGGTTCATTTCTTTCAGAGGTTGAGTTCAAGATCTTTGACTTCTTTACCTCATCTGCTCTTGACAGATTATGACTTTGCCATCACTTTGAAAGTCTGACCTCACTATGTGTTAGCCCACTTCTGATCTGATGTTTAGTGTTAAGACCCACCCAGTACTGTGACCTGCTCTCACCCCACCACCCAGCTCTCATATGGACTCTACACCAACCACCTGTGTTGAGTGGAAAGGCCAATTACTACTGTGGCAAGTGAAATAAAATTACTCCTGAGCAACCACGTGTGTTAAAATACTTCTACATACACATGTCAGCACTAAATTACAAGCCTTTTATGTGATCAAGTTAATAGTTACTGCCAGAAGCAAAACATCCCAGACCCTTCCTGGTTCAGGTATGTTCTAACTAACAATGATTTGAATTTGAACATGCAATGCCAATAGGAGAAAAGACTTTGCTGGAATTACTGTACAGGGATAAATTGATGGCTTTAATACTGATTAATAGCAGAAAAGAAAAAGTAAGAGTGGCAAGACAAATTGATGCTTCCAACACTAATTGCTAGAGTCTGTGGTTTCTAAGACAGAAGCTTCCATATAGAACATCTGTAACTTTGACAGTTAATTATATCTACATATATCACCAAGTCCCTCATGATTACATAGAATAATGTGAGGCACTGTAACTTAAAAATATTGCAACAGCTGTGTCAATATTTCCCCTCTTTAGAATACCTCAATTTTTGAGCCCAGGCCCTGGATTTCCACAAGCAGATCTTTTTATACCTGAGATGAAAACATAGTGAGCAAGTTTAACTCTTTCAGTAGAGCAATGAAAGCTTTCCAAAGAAGGAGGATCTTTACTGTTTCATTGCCTGGATCATATGCAGTCTACGCAGCAACACAGAGATTCTACCATTCAATCTGTTCGCACAGAGGATCTGTCTGTAGACAAAGCAGTCAGTCTTTTGCCACTTTTCTCAAGGGGAAAAAACAAACTCCTTTAACATTAAAGTGCCTAGTCTAGTTTTTAAATTCAACTAAAATCTGAAATCCAAACCTCCTGCTATATCTGCTTTACCTTCTTTGCCTCAGTATGCTTCCAAGCTTGGACTGATTCATAGCTTCTACACATAGATTTGCAGACCTTTTTTTTTCAAAGCATCTGAGATATTCAGCTCATGCTGCAGAATAATGAGTAGTCAGGACAGCTTCATGGTGAAGTTACTCTTGGTAATTAAAAAGATAAAGCTACACAGAGACAACCACTGAAAACTCAAATGACACGTACTCTTTTCTCCATTGCCCACAAAAACAATCACTGCTCCCATGACTCGCCACATCTGACCCCTCAAAAAAGCACATGATATGAATAGTTCATGTTACAATTGCACATCTTTAAGCTCTATCAGGCCTCCTCCACAAGACTCTACTTCTTGAAAATGTTTTAGTGTGCTACAGGTTCTGCAAGGGTCCGTACTCAGCTGAAAGCCATGTAAGCAGTAGCATTTTCCTTGGACCCACACCAATCTCTTGGCCCTCGCTGTTTTCTTAGCCATGAGGAACACTATTGTTAACAGTGCTCACAGCTCAGTAATGCTTACTGGGTCCAGGCAACCCCTGCAGATGCAAATAGGATACCTTACACGTCACCAAGGAAATCTATAGACTTCAACCCGTGAAACCTCATGGGACAGCCAAGTTTCTGCAAAGGACAGAGCTGCTTCAAACGGCCACCAATTTAACCAATGCATTCCGATTTCTGGTTCTTGCTTCAGTTCTCTTGATCTTTTTGTTTCCTAAAACTTGCCTCCATAGGTAAAGCAATCAATGCATTACTATGATTGTATTAGTAAAGCTGTGGAGATATAAGAACATCCATGCAAGGACTGTTTTTCACTCTAAGTTACTTTATCCTGGTAGCATTATCACAATTCCAAAACAATTTACCTTAAAATCAACAGATTTCCTTTCAGCATGAAGCTGGAATTTATTACCACAGATAAAAACAGGAAGGAAAAAAGCAAACAAAATGAAACATGCTAAGTATATTGAAAAAGGTATGACTAGAAAAATATGACCTTTTAAACTGAATTGTTCTCGCACACCACACTTTCTGTCTGAAATGTCCAGAGAAGTTAAAAGACTTCTTTTGTCTGTTAAAAGACTGTTTGAAACAATTGATTTTTTCCCCATTTTAATTAATTTTCATATTTTACAAAACAAAATAAGAGGCAGGCACACTATACCTAAGGACTTGAAACCAGACCATACTACAACAGTACACTAGCAATGTTCCTGCATACAGGGAAAAAAAAAAAAAAGACCAACCAATGCATTTGATAAATTCATGGCTGTTTTGATGGACAAAAGTAACTTTTGTCTTTCATTAAAGTCGAATATCATACCTGTACATAATAATAAGAAACAACTGCTGTCAGAGTGTGCATCTCTTGATGACTCTGGTTTGGACATTTATTTAAAGGAAGCACAGAAACAGACAAGAGCAAGCAAGCACTATGCACTTCATACACCAAGGAAGTCTTACATCTGACTTTGACCTGATGGAGGAACAGAAATACAGGATAAAAATAGCTGTTCAACAACATTGCTTTTTCATTGTTAGAGTTCATGCTCCCGAAAGGCAACCACAAAAATCCAGAAAAAAAAAAGGTTTTAAGATAAGTAAAGAAATTAAAAGGTCAGACAGTTCCTGGTATGAATGAGACCTTGCAGTTCTGAGAAACAACATTCCTCATTCTGCCTCAAGTCGAGGTAAGACAGGAAGAATAAGATTTCCAAATGCAGAGTCTTGAGTTATGAAGTATCCTGAGGAATGTGCATGTGCGTGCTGGAAAGAGAAAAACATTTGTTAATGCGTATCTCCCTGTAGCACTGATATAATTGAAGATTTTACAGCTTCTGCAGCATTAATTATTTACTTCTTCCAGTTTGCTCCTTGACTCTGATAGTCAAATTCAAACCCATCATTTTAGATCACCCACATCTGAACAGGGCCGATCAAGGGAATTTACGTGGCCATTCCCTGCTCGTCCTTTTTCAGGAGAATGTGGGGAGAGTGGTAAATGAACTCCTAACTGCTTCTCTTTTGCCTAGACCCCATACTTCCACTCCCATTTTTAATCAACTTACAGGTCTTGGTATCTGCCAGATGCCACATATGACTGCCACAAGTGTCAATCAGTAGTGTCACACAATGTGAGACTGCACGTACAAATGACATGTGACCAGACACACTCCGGTACAACATGGGAGACCAGCCTTCTGCTTGTGGGACGTATATATGCTTGTTCACCTGAGGAGGGCAGCTGCTGCTTATGGCTCTGGATAACCTTTGTAAAATCATATGTAGCCCATCCCAGTTCATAGACTGCACTCCAGTATGCTAGACTGCCTGCATATTCCTTCCTTCCACCAAAAACTTAAGCTTCACAACTTGACTGGACCATGCCCTGAGCAATGTCATATAGCACTGCTGTTAGTCATTCTTTGAGCAGGGCACTAGACTAGAAACCTCCAGAGGATCCTTCCAGCCAATGGTGTCCTGTGACTACCACAGGACACCAGCCAGAGCTCGCTTCTTCTCCCGTTTGTTTTAGGAGAAGCAATCTGGGGCATTTATTGGGTGACAGAAACACAACAAGGCATAGGATACGTGAAGAGTGTTGCCAGTTTGCATCTCAATGTTTTTCCCATTCCCACCAGCTCAATTTCCAATTTCAACACCAAAATCAGCCTCACCTGACATAAGCAAAATAGCAGCAAATAGAAGCCTGTACATGTACAAGTAAGTTTTCCAAATCTTTCATCTCTGTCACTCATAACTGCAGGGTATTTATTTGGCATTTACTCAGATTCAACCAATGAAATAGTAGGGCCTGAGCAGTGAGACCCTGAACCAAAGCTGACCTCTACATGAACCTCACAACCTAACAATATACCTAAGATGTACAATATTGATCAAGTATGTAATGTATTAACTTATGAATATACACCAACTCATAAAAGCTTTGTTGTAACGCTTATAGAGCATTGCCGTAATGCTTGCTGTGTAAGTCCGCAGGAAAATGCTAGTTGTGCAACAGTACCCTCATTTGTCAAAACCAGACATGCCTGTTGCAACCAAAAGACAGGTACACCTACCGCAAACACAGAAGTAAAAGGATGTGCGGTAAAAAGATGTGGAGGCCCACAGAGGCCTGTGACAGGCTTTTTGGGAAGATACATAATCAGGATTACCAGATACGTTTACCCCTATTTTTTTACTTCGCTCTCAAGGTCCTGGCCAGACTCAAGACGAAAGCTGACAAGTGGAAAACCACACCAGATGTTTTTCGCCGTTTGAGATGTAAAGTTGTTTATTTAACTGTATAAAAGCGGGGACCGCTGGCAGGGAAATTTGGAAGCCTCATCTATACAGTGGATGCACTGTACAGAGATTTCACAATTGCTGGGAAGGGTTCTCCAAATCCTCGCTGCAACCAGGCTCCCCAGTGACTGCGGACCTGGATGATGGTAATGTATTAATAGGGCAATTGATACATCATGTATCCTTCTCAATCACTATCACTAACTCTATGTAGTAATGATAAGGTGCATTACCTTATTTTATGCTTGCTATAGTAGTTTGGTTATTATTTTGCTGCTTTACCTTATCTTGGTTTCATTTATTCTCACTGTATTATTTACCTCATTATTTTATCACCTTAAACATAAATAAAGATAAGTTTACTTCTTTAATTTGGTGCCTGTGTCCTTTGTGCTAACCCCGTCAATTGGCAAAACAGCCAAGGAAAGATGTGTGGCTACTTCTCCCTACACTTTGTTGAGACATTCAGAAGTACGATGAAACTGACTCTTGACTGAGATGTACAAAGCAGCTATGAGGATACTGCAGGCTACATTCTTAAAACCATATTGAGAGATTATGAGCTGACAGATTTAAGCTTTCATCATAAAAGAAGAAACTTCATTTGTGACAAATACAGAAACATATGAAACCAAACCTCTGAAAGTGGCTTTTCATTCTCTCTAGGTGCAGGACTACTCCCTGAATGGATGCACATCTAAAACAGAGAATCAGCTTACCTGTAGCGCAGCCTTCTGCTGTGCTGCGATGTGCTGCTGCTCAGCATGATCACGGAAATCCTTGTTCAATGGTGATCTTGCAAGTGCAATGCTGCAAAAAGAACAAGATGGTATGATACATATCAGAGAAAAAAACATGTCCTTGCCATTCTAGTCATACATTCCATAACTTCCACAGCTCACAATTTATTTGACTCATGGCTTGACAATTGTTAGCTATTGTTTGGAACTACTATTTGTTAAGATAAGAGAGAAAAGGAAAACGGAATGACCATAGCTGTTATAATTGGACCTAGCATAAACAACTGATGCCAAACTAAACCCAGAAGATTCAGAGTCCTGAAGCCAGTTGTGGATTTCACTCATGGGTGGAGTCCCACTGAAGTCAGTGGAACCGCAGCGGTGCAACACTAGACAATACCAGCAATTTTTAAAACAGCAGCTTTGCGTTTTCACCATTACTCAGTCACTCAGTGAGTATCCTAAAAGAGTGTGATGAACAGAAGCACTAACAAGAGCTTCGCAGTCTTCAGCGTAAGACCAGCTGCTGGCAGATCACTGCCTTATAGTAAAGGAGCTTCCTACTGACTTAACTGAAGTAACGATCCTCTGATGATAGCTTAAGAGTATCCAAAATTGATTTTGCTTATCTGTCTCAGTGCAGCATACATTGAGTTTCAAACTAAAATATCTAAATAGGTTTTCCTGGCTTTTATATCTTAAGACTTGTCCACCCTGTTAATCAAAAAAGAAGAAATAAAAAGTAGACTTTTTTTTCCTCACAACTCTGTATAAGCAACGTGATGAGCCATCCTCCAGATCTAAATCAGTGAGGACTGCCATTAGAGCTGTATCACAAGGCAATTCACAACTACCTCTGAAACTGGCTCTGGAGACTGGTGCTGAAAACGCAGCTCAGTCATAGAGACAAAAGTATGAAGGACAACAAGGGATCCAAGCAAAGTCATCAACTGACCCTTCCCAGCAGCTTCAATGTCAACAGCTGATTTAGTAAATAAATTTTTCAAAAGCAGCCATGCTCATGAGAAGACCTTTAGCCAAATCTATGCCTAAATGCATAATGAAAGCTAAGTGACAATCCTCTGAACAGATTTTATGCCAAATATTAAGACAAGCTTCACAGCTGGAGAAAAGTATTACTCAGTTTATTTAAAACATAATATTTTCAGTTATTTTGAACGTATTTATTTTGTATTTAATTCTGCACCCTTTAACTTTTCAATAATCTTAAGGCTTCATCATAAGCTGACACTAAAGAGACATCTGTTCCTGGATAGAGGATTCCCATATGCCAAGGCTAGAAATCAATTAACTCATTCACCCTTACACTGGCTGTGCCACCACTGTGCTTTAGATACATTGAGCTTTTTTTCTGCCAAGTTTGCAGAATTTCTATGGTGTCATTTCTGACAACTCTGTGGTACAAAATCTTTGGTGCAACATCCCTGCAACAGAATGGTCAGATTCTCAAAAATCACACATCAGCCCACCACCATGCCAAAGCAGACAGTTTGCCTGCTGCTTTGTAGGTATCCCCCCATCCCCACCTTCAAAATTAACAAATTCCAGTTCTACCCACTAGCATATATAGTGTTATTTTTCCTTAAAGAAAAAAGAAAGTAATCAAGCACTCCCTGAAACTCTGCCAGACTGCAAATGAAGTATTTCTGGAAACACTTGCCAGGAGTTAGGGGTTGTACATAATAGTATAATATTTCTGTTTTCTTCTCCAGTCAACAATTTTGCTTCAATAACTGCATACAGAGTCACTCAGAGATCGAACTCAAGCAATTTCAAATATTCTGGATGCTTTTGACAGTATGAAGGAATTAAAGGTGACCTAGAATCTCCCTGAGAAAAGACACAGGCAGCACTCAGACTGTAGTCAGAGTATTTGACTCTTGTACAGATTCTGTATGTAACACACTAACACGGCACTGCACACACTTCATGCTAAACCAGAAGTTCAACTATCTCAATTTCTCCACGTAAACCAGCCTGTGATTTTCTAGTGACTGATTTATGTCAAAAATCTACTCTGTCTTAAATGGGAGAAATCTCATTGACAGCTCCCAAATTCAGATTAGATTACTACACCCAATGGTACAGAATGATCCTTACAACACAGCACCTTTTACAAGATCTGCAGATCCCCTTTGTCTTCACACAGGGAGTTTCAGGGATACCTCACCCCCTGCTGTAACTGTTCTTCTCTAAACACCCAGTACCCTGAACCCAATAGTCTCCTACTTCCATTCCTTAGGGCATTTTAGCTTAATAATTAAATGCTTTCTCAGTGCCTGCCATCTGATTCTTCTTTGGTTGAATTTAATACAGGTGAGTAAGCATATCTGCTTCTCCCCTTCTCCAATGGAAATTATGTAAGCCAAAATCCAGGGTCTGTAAACAATTTTAAATACTAATATGTTCCAAAAGTGCAAAGTCTCTCTGACTGGTTTTTGAGGATGGTCAGAAAACACTTCTGATAACTGTTTATGTAAGCTTACAGCTCACTTGCTATTTTTTTTCCTTTGATGTAATCAGTGATGTCCAAACAGATCTAAGAACATAAAATACCTGGCTCCAGGGTGATTTGTGGAAGACTGGTTTTGCATAAGTAACTTTCTCTTCTCCTTGTCTAGTTCTGCCAGGATTGCAACCCTATTTTTATTCTGGAAACCTGGTGGGAATGACAGAAGAATATTAGAGAGATTTACTTGATTCTTGCGGCCCAACTCTAACCTTGTGGAATTAAAAGTCTCTGTACAATATGATATTATGATGAATCCACTATCTTCAAAGTTTTGCATTCACCTGAAAGGCTATCAATAAATAGGTTTCATTTTTTATTTTCTAATAACATCAAATAGGTTCCTTAAGCTATCATACATATTAAAACATTCTAAAATGCAGGTTTCTATCTCAAGTTAGATCCTGCCCCTTCCCAAGACAGCTCTGGAGCTATAAAAAAGGTACATGATCAAACACTTGCCTTTCAAAAAAAAGTAAACTTACCAGGTTCTAGATTTAAAATGCAGTCACTGAACATAAAATTCAATTATAATATTGGAGGAATACACTCACAGGGCCTAATTTCTCATGCCAGTGAACTCAAGCTATAATACAAGTTTTACATACATAACAGGTAAGAATGAGATGACCACCAAGCCTGCATATGTGTTCTACAAAAAATGTCAACCTTTTACTAAATCTATGAAGAAAGGCTTTTGTTTTAATATACTGATGTCCTTACATACACACAATGCCCTTATTCTGAGTATGACCACAGGAGAGTATGACTACAGCGCTGGAACAGAGAAGCAAAATTAAACTGTCTGGACACAATACGAGAACGTGGCCTTTATTTGCTCTGTACATCATCTTCCCAAAGGGACCTCATACGGTAGCAAAAGGGTCGGGAAGTAGAGTTACTGAGGGAATTTAGAAAATGCCTAAAATAGGTGCTATTTATGTATTTTTGAGGTTGCTTTCTAAATGAAAATGTGGCAAAACTACTGCACTTACGCAGGACCTCTTTATGGTAAAAGATCTTACTGCGGCCACCAAATAAACAGCTACACAAGACCCCGCTGTTGCCCAGTATGCCTGTACAGCAGAATTGAGGATAACAGCCACGGAGCTGGCTCTTACAGGCCCCTATGCCACTAAAAACACTCCTCATGTCAAGAACACACACTTTTTAAATCTCTCATTTGCTGCTATTCTATAAATATCAAGCCACTGTCAAGTAATGACTACACAGTCATAAAAAAAAATGTGTAAGTCAAGTTATCTCCTTTATTTCCTCCATACAAAAAGTCAAACTCATTCCCGTTAAAAACCGCTGTATGTTGTGCCCCCACCCACATCCCGAGTGCTGTTTCAGTAACACCACTAAGAAATGGTAACCCACAAGTTGTTAGGAAGGCCAGACATGGTAATTCTTAAGGGGAGTATGACCATGTTGAGGTAAAATGATTTCAAATTTATTTGAAGTAGCTGCACTCAAAGTTCATTCCCTTTGAGAGTTCTGCTGCTGCTGCTCATTACATAACCCAATATTCCTTTCACCAGCACGGCTCAATGAAAGAGACAATTATCAGGTAGAAACCTTCAACTCTAAATAACAATTTGCATCTGTACTGCCTTGCTATCAAACCCTCACCTCTTCTTTTACTATGCCTAACACATGCACCCCTGAGCCTCAGTGTCTAGTTCTCGAAAGGAGCAGTCATTTTATTACATTTTGCTGTGGTTTTATGCAAGATCACCCATAATAATCTTTACATTTGTTAACAGATTTTTAAATTAATTAATTGCCATTTTTCCATCTGTTAATCTCCTCTTCCCACATGGCATCAGTTCCACTTAAACTCCATTTTGTTAAGTGTATTGATTCAGGTCTTCGTTGTTTCTCTGTTCTTCAGATATTGCACACTATTTTTTTTTTAAGACCCTGCACTAACAATGAGTTTGAAACATTAAAACACAGCTGAATGTGTGCTCTAAGAGATACAAAGGCTAGGAGATGTTGCTAACGAGCTAAAGATTCAACATTTCTTAGTTGCAGCTAGCCCAGACTTTCCTGTAAATTCTGTAGACAAAGGTGCAATAGAGTGACTGAACTACCTCTAAGAGGGTCTGAGCTAAAATGATCATGTCTGTATGCTCATTCTACACAGTTTTCAGCCAAAAAGCTTAATGCTTGACATATTACTCAGTGGCCTTCTGCTCCTGCTTGTTTATCCTGAACTGCATAATTCTAAATGCATCCTTGGAATTCAGATGATACGGTGACTGAGGCCAGAAAAATGAGACCACTTTTTAATATAAATTGCTGTCAGCTAAAAAATAAAGACCAAATATGCTTAACATTTCTCATGAAGCAGATGGTAAAACTTGCTCATTTGAAGTTAACAATGGAGGGGCGGGACATGGGAAATCCATTTAGAGAGGAAATCTGGCATCCCCACAAAATAAATCATAATTTCTGGCAACATCTAAGTGCTTCCATAAAGACCAACTTGAAACAGCTTCAGAAGTTTCCTACTTCAATTACAAATAAAGTAATTTTTCATCTGTAGATTTGATACATCTTCTTTGCTTTCTAGTACTAAAAATGCGGACTCGAAAAAGCCATCCTTAGTATAGAGTAGATCCTCATCTGTGAAAGGAAGTGTAAATTTTCAAACACATCAACTTCTTAATAAAGGTTTAAGTTTAGACTTCCCTTAACTGGGCTGAGTTGCACCACTATTTTGGGTTTCAACAGCTCATTAATATTGCAGTTCATGAATATTCTTCTCTGCTTTGCGGACACAAGACTCCTGACACAAAATGACACATTCAAGGCAGCTAAACAGATTAATAGCAGTGTCAGATGTCAAACTGAGTACCTGGATCCTCAGATTACTCTCTAAGGTAGCAGATTCAGGACATTTAAAATTTAAACCTGTTCTTTCTGACACCGCTATTTCTGACATGAAGCATTGTATTATGTGCTCTGTGCAGGAGCTAGAAGTTTAATTTTCTGCCTTTCACATGCAAAACAACTGTGCAAGTAGAAAAGGTTGAAGCCTTGCTGAGTGATACTGGTAACTTTAAGAGCTCACAGCAAGAGTTGCTCTTTCACCTAATCCTACCACCCTACCTCACCGATATCTCTGTCAGTTCTGCTAGCTAACTCTGCATGGCAAGAAACAGTATTTCCTTTTTCTACTTTAAAGTTCTTGCTTTTCATCTCCCATTTTTATCCTGATCTGTTGGTTGCTTCAAATTCACAGTATGCATAAGGTTTTTTCTAATATGCATTATTTATCATTTGTCCATAGATGTGTAACAGCACAAAAGAGCCCTCCACTACTCTGTGCTCAAGATACACTTCCACTCGGACAAAATGGTTTCAAAGCTGGATGTCTGCTCTAAGCTTTGTACATTAAAAAGCACTGTCACTGCACACTGTTCTGCCTGCTCAATTCAGAAAGCATTTCACAGCAATTTTTTTACTGAAGTGCATGCTTTCATAGATGGCAGCCTTCATGAGGAGAGGCAGCAACCTCTTAAAAACCAGAATCTAAAGACCTTATTAAAAACCAAATGTTTGGGAAACAGGATGGCGTAACTGTATTTTGATTTCCTCTTCTTCTTATGACTGCTGGCATCATAAATCATCATTAAGTCTGCTGAACATCAATACTTTTCAGTAACAATTTACATTCAGGTGTGCTTTCATATACATTGTGTCACAATGAAACAAAAGGCCTGTCAGTAATTCAGTACATTAACTTGAATTACTAAAAGATACATTAATATTTTGTCTGTCCCTCCAGAAAACAGCTACATCTACATGCATACCTGAATGTAAGTCATTGACTGCTTTATGTCTGCAAAGTTCTTCAGGAAGGACATATGCTACAGCCCTCAAGTACTACGCTTGCACACACATCAGACGCAGATGCAGAGCAGCAGAGTTTGTAGACAATGACATAATTCAATGCAGAATGGTGCAATCTTCCTTTTTAACATAGATTTCATGAACAGAACGGTAAATCTGAATGTGCTCATGTACCATTAGGCTAAAAGGATAAACAACTGCCAGGACAGAAGGAGATTGTTGGATTGCTTGTAGGATTGCTACAGCCTGAAGCTTAGAATTCTGGACATATTTCAAGAGCTTTGTTTCTCCAACATCCCAACTCTTATCTTCTGAAAAGCTGAGCCCTGTGTGAAGCAGGACCTGTATTTCTTCCACCTTTGGGGACCTAAAGGTGGAAGAAAAGACCTTCCTGAGCAGTCATATTTCTCTCATCTCAAGAGGGCTTCCTCTAGGAGAACTCACACATGGAGTCTTTAATTTTGTAACATGCAAGGCACGCTCTGGCCTTGCTGTGCACAAGCAAAAGCATTACAAGAGCAGCCCTACAAAGGCGTGTCACGTAATTAGTGTGAAGTATTACTGCAGAAGCAGTGTGTTACCAAGCACCTGTAAATAATTTCTGGAAGTTAGAAGCTGATTTTCTCTCCCCACCCTGCCAAATGTACCACTCTGGTCTATGAGCTCATCTTGCAGACAATACACTGCGTGCTAAAATCTTTCCATTTATTTGAAATGCTGTAATCAGTCTCACGCAATCAGTGCAATCAGTTCCATGTGGTACTAACAGGCTTAAGTGAGGCTTGCATTCAATTCTATTTGGTTTTGCTGCTCCTCATCTTTGAAACTCTGAACAAAATAGTGCTTTCCCAAGAGGCCAATGAATTAAAGGAAGTCCAGTCCACAAAAATCTTAACCTTTGTAGTCCAAGACTGCAATTAACAGAAAACTCAATCAACTCATAGCAAAATACCTGGCACTGATTAAAGGGAAAGAAACAACTCAGCACAAAAAATTACAAACACAGGAATGTCTACCTGTGTAGAAGGCTAATGTTGAATTCATCCTTGCAGTTCTGTCTGAGTAACCGCTACCATTCACAACCCTTCCTGTGAGTGTTTCAGGAAATCCCTATTCCATTCGTCCAAGAAGGGAAATCAGAGAATGAATTGCTTGAACAGTACCAATATGGGTGACATTCATCAAGCTGAAAATACAGTATTTGTCTCAATTGTTTACTAGACTGTACCTGGCCAGAAAAAAGATACAGAAGCTTTGAACTGTTGCTCATATTCACCTGTTCCTTTCTAATTCTCCTCACTGTATTATTTACAGGCTCATTTGGGTGATTAAACTAGACAGTGTTTCTTGCCTGCTTAGTGCACATAATTTTCATATGATAATTAAAACATTTCCTTTAGTGAGTCTCTAAAGGGTATCTCAAAAGTTAAAAAGCAGATTCCAAAGCTCTATTAAATTACAAGCCTCTGGAATTTGGAGGGAAGCAAAGGCATTCTGAAACAAAAATCCTGTCTTTTCTCAGTAAATTCACATATTACAACATTCTGTTCCTTGCAATGATGCTCACTTGGTATTCACAGAGTAAAGCAAGATTTACCATTGTGTACCAAAACCCCCTCAGTTAAAATCTCCAAACAGACAGCCATCTGCAATCTCCAGTACTCCTCCCTCAACACTTTACAAAAGCTCAATTAGCAATACAAAAACTACCTTCTTTTCACCAAGCAGCAAGTAAAATCTTCTTTTGGCAGGGGAGGGAACCACACAGGTGATCTGGTATCCCAATCAGCACTTCAGCATTAATTACACCCAGCTTTGTGGGATTGCTTTCCTGGATAAGGACACTCACATAAAAATGTGCACAAAGAAGTCTTGGGTTGCTAGAAAAATGGATTCTGAATTTATTTCTCATAACCAGTAAGTTATGAGAAACTTCCTTCTCCTCAGCAATTACATAGAATGGACAAGCCTCAGAGTTCCACCAAGATTTCCAAAAAGCACCTCTAGAGGGCGATTTAAGACCCTCCTTCAATTTACCGTGTGACTCCCCCTGCCACCAGACCCTCAGCTCCCTTTAAGGCACGTCGTGCTTTGGCTTTATAGACAGACTATTTCCATGAACGGTTTTACAGATGCCATTCAGATTTGCTATCTAGCCTTGACAGCTATTACTGCCTGGGTCTTGTTGATCCCCTCACAATGTGGAATCTATTAGACTTGTAGCTGTTCCCTGATGCCTGGGAGGATGCAGGAAGCCCTGCTTTCCTGCCTCTTTCCCATTTTGGTCTTTCTATAAAATCAACTTATGGGTTTGGTGACTTCACTGATGTTTTGCCTGTAGTGTTCCCCCTTGAATACTTAGATCAAAACCTACCCTGTCCTGAAGGATTTGCTGCCATCCTTCAATTTTCAGCCCTAGTTTTATTCAGCTGCAGTCCAAATCTTTTAACCTGACAAACACCTGCAAAACATGCAAAATATAAGATAAACACTTTCCTTTAAAAGCAAAGCTTGGATTTCATTCTGTTACAGATTTCATAAATGTAGCAACTGTTACAAAGCATAAGCCAAATACAGAATGTGTATTAAAATATATAATACTACCTATATTGTTTTGATTGAAATTTTTAGCTTGAAATATCAAGAACTGTGAACAATTCTTTTTCAGATTCTAGTAATTTAAGAATAACCTTTAGAGTCATTATGGAATCATACACATGTATTCCTAACAGAAATTCTTCCCAATAAAGTTATGTCTGGCTACACTTAGGAGTCATAGAATCTTATAGTACTAAGATACATTCTAAGTAATCTGTAGTAATAGAATAGGTTTGGGTTGGAAGGAATCTTCAAGATCATCGAGTTCCCCCCCTCCTGCCATGGGCAGGGACACCCTCCACTAGACCAGGTTGCTCAAAGCCTCATCCAGCCTGGCCTTGAACACCTCCAGGGATGGGGCATCCACAGCTTCCCTGGGCAACCTGGGCCACTGCCTCACCACCTGCACAGGAAAACATTTCTTCCTAAGATCTAGTTACATTAAAGCATTATACTCCTTAAATGCTACAGTCCTTAAAGACCTCAGTTTAGGCACTAAATCAAGGAAACTCATTATTTGAGAAAAGACAATTTAAATCCTAGCTACAAGGCCTGCTGAAGGCTGCCATCCTCACAGCTGCAGCGACACAAAGAGGAACGCTGGCTCCTCAGCCACACATCATCACCTCAGGCCACCATCAACCGCTCCTTCCATTCAGGTGCCGGGCTGCAAAGCACAGTGAGGACGGGCTCCAGCTCAGCCGGTGGAGGGGAGGGAGGGGAACACTGAATCCTGTGGGAACGAGAGGAGTCAGTCACCTTTTTACCGGAGACCAGGAAACACCGCGGAACTGCGGGTCCCTGGGCAGCAACGCCAGCCTTAAAGATAAACTCATTCAACAGCAGTGTTCATTAAGAGCAGTGACACCACCCACAACGTGTTTGACCTGCGCGGCGGCAGGGGGGCAGTCCCGGGGAGGAGG